AAAATCCAAATGAATGCCATCAACGGGTTTGTTCACAACACCACCATGGAGATAGAGGGCTTGGTGACATGGTGCAATAATAACAACCTCTATCTCAATGTCGGCAAGAATAAAGAACTGATCATTGACTTCAGAAAGAAAGGAGGATACATGCCCCCATCTACATCAGCGGAAAAGAGGTTGAGAGGGTTGACAGCATTAAGTTCCTAGGAGTGATCATAACCGGCAAACTGTCCTGGACCTCCCACATGGATGCGACGGTCAAGAAGGCACAACAATGCCTCAGGCAGTTCAGCAAATTTGACTTGTCAATAAGGACCCTCACCAACTTTTACAGGGTTCACTATAGAAAGTATATTGTCCAGGTGCATAACAGCCGGGTATGGCAACTGCTTTGCCCACAAGAAACTACGGAAGGTTGTGCGCACAGCCCATACCATCACGGAAGCCATCTGCCCATCCATGGACTCCATTTAGACCTCTTGTTATTACAGAAAGGCTGCCAACATCATCAAAAGCCCATCCCACCCCAGTAATGCTCTCCTACAACCTCTTCCATCAGGCAGAAGATACAGAAGCTTGCATACTTGTACCAACAGGTTCACGGACAGCTTTATCCCTGCTGTTATCAGACGAATGAACAGACTTGAACTTCAAATAACGTTGATCTTGCTTCACGCACCTCCTGTGCAGTGTAACCTGAATGCTTCACTCTGTCCATGCAGCCTAGGATCTGCAATTCTTTGCTTATGATGATCTGGCTGTACTGCTTGCAAACAAAGCTTTTCACTGTACTTAGGTACGCATGACAATAAATCAAATCAATCAATCCTTCAAATATATATATAAAAAGAGAGAATTCAAAATGTACATAGGACCCTTAGAAAATGAATCTGGGGAAATGGTTTTAGCGAACAAGAAAATAGTAGTGGCGTTGAATAGGTGTATTGCATCAGTCTTTATGGTGGAAGATACTTCAAATATCCATTCACAGTGAAGACGACAGGGAGGAATTAAATAACATTACCATTACTATCACTAGCAAAGTAGCATTAGACAAACTGTTGTTAAAGGCAGATAAGACCCCTGACCTTGATGGCTTGCATCCTAGGATCTTAAAAGAGATAGCTACAGAGATAGAGGATGTACTGGTTGTAAAAATGGGTTTTCCCAACAATCAGCAATGGTTATCATTAGACTCTTAATTCAAGATATTTTACCGAATTCAAATTCCAGCATCTGCCACGGCAGATTCGAACACATGTCCCCAGAATATTACCCAAATTTCTGGATTAATAGTTTAGCGACAATACCACCAGGCCAGCACCTCCCCTATTATATATGGTTTCTGTAAGTTGCTTTCTTTCTTGTTAATTAACAGCAGTTCCACTAGAACTTTATTTTCTCATTGGAAACTATTTATTCTACATATTCCGAAATAAATTCTAAATGTTTACCAATGCATCAATTGACCTATCCCTTAACCTAAATTGAGAGTTAACTTTAGTTTGTCTGCTTTCGTGCCCACATAGCGACCTTCATTAAAGTTCTAAATATTAGTCTTGAACTCACTGACTGTGAAATTCAATCATATTATGATTGCTGCTACAAGATCATTAAGTTATCCTATCTCATTGCACAACTGGTATAGTCTTGCTCTCTGGTCAGATCTAGAAGGAACTATCTTGAAAATGTTCTATGAATTCATCTCTATGCTCATCTCTGCCCATCTGTTTTTCCAATCTGTAAATAGATTAAAATCCTGCATGATTATCATCATTCTTTTCTGATAATCTCGCATTGTTTTTTTTGTTTTACAGTGCACCCTACCATGTAGTTTGCTGATCTGAGATATGCACCTATTCAAGCGTCATTTTTTACAGCTGTTCCATTTTGCATCCATCCACATGTTCACAAATACATGGATTCTAACTTGTTACTCATCTTTTTGAACTTAACCTTTTGTTGTCAAAGGCTTTTATCGCCTATTTAAGTGTTAATACATGCCTCTCCCTGCCAAAATCCCAAATAAGTATTACCCATATCATCATAACACCCTGACACTGTTGCCAGTACAAATATTATGTTTCTCCTAGCTGGCAGGTATGATGTTGTGTTGCCCCATTTCTACATGGTATGTGACTTCTTTGTTTATTGTTATTCATGCACAAATAAAAAGTAAGTTTATTGTTTGGATAGAATTTCATGGCTTACTAAATAGTTTCACGAATGATAAGTAGTTTCTGAGGAGTTTACTTTGCAAGATAACGAAGATAATTGCATAACTTCATGCTGACAATTCTGCAACTTTGTGGTCACAAAAAAGTGGTGTTCGTCACCAGGGTTGAAACCTTGTAGAATCTCGTTCAGATGCCAAAATGAAAAGTAGGTAGAATCATTGCTTATAAAGCAATATTATCCATTCACTAAACATATAATATATAATGTCCAATACATGTCCACGAGTAGGCGTAAAGCAAGAGTTCAGCAATTGAAAGGACCAACTAAGACTTGACTGAAGCAATCTTGAAATGTAGTAAGTACAATAATTATGAATATTCATCTACTGTACTGCCAACTATGCATGGATGATGCATAGCTGGCAGTACAGTATTCAAGGGAGAAGTAATATGCTTTCAAGTCTACGACTAACACGATTCTGTAACTATCTCATCCTCTGCTTAACACATTCTAAAAGATCTTTCATCAATTTCTCATTCAGCAAAGGTACAGACAATGCACTGGTACAGAGGTAACAAGGAAATAAAATGCGTGTGCGTGTGCGTGTGTCTCATTGAATTTTTTATTTTAATTCATGTTAACATTCACTGTAATCATCAAAACAATCCAACCTTTGATTTTTTTTCTTATAAAGACTATAAAGCTGAAATTTAATAGCCTTTGTAGTTTGAGTTCCAAAGAAGAGTCATGCCAGACTCGAAATGTTAACTTTGTTTCTGCATCCACAGATGCTGCTAGATCTGCTGAATTTCTCCCGCTCTTTGATTTATTTGTGATTTCTTCCTCTGTTTTTACTTCAACTTTTACAATTTCCAAGTAAACAATTATCTACAGACACCATACTGCTTTACAGCCTCCTGAACACCATATATGACAACTATTTTGTTTTCCCTTTCACTGCTGCAAGCCTATAGATTGGCTGACATACCTCTGATTATTATTATCAGTCCTTTGTTCGAGGCCAATTCCAAGCACTGCACAAATGCATGCATGAATTTGAAAAATGGTTTGAACAGAGGTTTCCTGTGAAGCATTAACCTATATTTCTATTGGTTATCTCAGTTGGCTGGACAGCTAGTTTGCAATGTAGAGCAATGCCAACATCGTGGGTTCAATTCCTGTACTGGCTTAAGTTACTTTGAAGGACTCTCCTTCTCAACCTCTCCCCTAGCCTAAGGCACGGTGACCCTCAGGTTGTCTCTCCAATGAGAACACAGTCCTGTGGTCTGATAGGACTATGGTGACTTTAAAGGATACACATAAACAATTTTACATGAAATGTATGTTCTGTTTGATTTAGTAACCATTAACTCAATATAAGAACATATCACAGTCAACATGGTGCAAATGTAATTTCTAGAAAAATTGCAGTAGCAATCATTTGAATAGAAAGTATTAATAACTATGTTGGTAAGACTATTTGTGGTTAAATTCATGTTAAAAACAATTTCAGAGTGACTGTGGCAATGCCAACACGGCCATTATGCACGACTATTCCGCACACGTGTGTATTATTTAACGTCATTTCCCATGTGCAAACTCTCACACAATGCCAGTTTAGGACTATACTTGCTAGAGTTTTGATAGATGAGAGGAGATCTAATTGAGGTATACAAGATGAAGGGAATTGATAAAGTTGATGTAGAGTAGATGCTTCCCCTTCTGGGGCAATCTAGAACCAGAGGTCAATCTTAGGTTAAGGCATGTCAGGTTTAAAACAGAGATAAAGGAGGAAGAGTCGTGAATTTACTACCTCAGCGTGCGGTGGATGTTGGGACACTGAATAAACTTGAAGAGGAGGTAGTTAATTTTTAATTAGTAACGGATTAAAGGGTAATGGACAGTAGGCAGGAAAATGCATTTCAGAGTTGAGATTAGCAATAATCAAATCAAATGGCAGATTAGTCTCAAAGTACTGAACTGCCTACTCCTCTTCCCAGTTCACATTTTCCTACGTATGACGACATGCTCAGGCTACATAAGAAGACCATAAGAAAAAGGAACAATAGTAGGCTATTTGGCCCCCTCAAACCTGCACCGCCATTCCATAAGATCACAGCTGACCTGACATTCCTCGTGCACTTTCCTGCTTGTTCCCTGTAACACTTGACTCCCCTAATGATCAAGAATCTATTACAGCCTTAAATATACACAAAGACTGTGGCAACGAGTTCCAAAGACTCAATCCTCAGAAGAAATTTCTCCTTATCTTAGTCTTAAATTGGTGCCCTTTATTCGGGAGACTATTGTCCTCTAGACGGAGACCGTCCTATGAGGGGAAACATTCTCTCAGCATTTACTCTGTCAAGGCCTTTTACAATCCAAACGTCTCAATGAAAACACCTCTCATTCTTCTAAACTCGAGTAAGTAGAATTCCAACCTGTTTAATCTTTTCTCATAAGACTCAGCGCATGCTAAAATATGATGATGTCACACATACAAACATGATGACATCGACTAAATAAAAAAGTTACTGTGTTTGTGCATTAACACTACAGATATGAATAAATCAAAAATCACTGGTTACGTAAAATCAAGTTACTGCCCATGCAGTGATGGAATGACACCTTAAATTGACACAGATTATGATTTCAAATCTCTGATCATCATCATCCAATGAAATTCAATTAAAATTTTCTGACAATCTTTTTCTGTCCTTATTTGTGACATCAATACAGGAGGTGTTCCTGATAAGGCAGACTTGAAATTTTCAATTCCATCAAGTTTGCAATTAATGATCAGGCTATCAATCACCTACCTCTGGCACTCTCCAGCATGCAAGATCAAATCCTCATTGCTTTTTGCACTTATAGTTAGTTCATGTTCTGTTGAATTGAAGACATCTAAGAGAAGGTGGCACTGTCTGGTGCTGTTGGAACAGAAATCAGCAAGTTTAAGAGCACATTAAAAATTATAGAGTTTTGAAAGAGATCAGGAGTAAAATGTTCACCAAAATACAGTTTGCAAATTACATTTATATTTCAGAATTTCATACTACCGTGTGCCAGATCTTGGGAATATCATTTCAACTCACCACAATGTAAGATCTTAATTTAGTCTGACACCACAGACTTGAACAAATATATGAAGAAAAAATGCTTACTGGCATGATATTCATCTCACTTGGTGAACTCATTGCATGATTTAATAAAAACATAAATAAAAGATTTATCAGTGCATGTGTCTATTCATGATAAACTCTGAATTGGTTTTCAGGTTCTTTGCTGTCAACTATGCTATTTTAAACAAGTTATCTATTATGGTCTATGAATAGATGTAGCAGCATTACAAAATCAGTCTGTCACATTTCCCAGATTTGAGCTTTGGGGCTACAGTGCACTCACTGACAAAAGCAGCAAAGTCTCTCGACAGTCAGATGGATATGAGATTTCCACCGTGGTACACAGATATTGAATTGATGATTTAAATTCCCTGACTGTGCTTTTCCTAACAAAATAAAAAGTCAGGAAATATTGCAAAGAAGTAATACAATCCTTTTAAAATGTATATTACAGTCCATTAAAAAAAAGACTTTCCTAACCCATAAGCAAGATCGAATTTGAGTCTGCAGTTTGGGGAAAAAATAGGTGAAACACAGCCTAACTGTTTTGTTCACAACAAATTCATGTTATATAACAGTTCAATCTTCTGAAATGAGGCAGAAATAGATTTTAATGGACAACGTAATAACAGCAGAGCATCACACATTTGTCAAAGCAAATTACTGCAATATGTTGCAAATTAGCATATGCGCTTTATCTTATGACTATGTATTATTATGTAAGCGGCATCAAGATTATTTTAAATATCTACAGTTAGGCACTACTGGCTAATTTTAACATTGGGAATATAAAGTAATGGAGTGCTTGGGAAAAAAGAACACCCTCATTACAAGTTAGTGAAGCAACAAATTGAAGAATTGAACTTTAATCAATCTCTATGCCTTTGAAATCTCAATAGGCCTCTACATTATCAATTCTAGAATATATAGAATATAGAACAGTGCAACACAGTACAGGCCCTTCGGCCCACAACGTTGTGCCGACCTATTATCCTACTAAGATCAAACTACCCTACATTATACTATCATCCATGTGCCTATCCAAGAGTCGCTTAAATGTCTCTTATGTATCTGACTCCCCACTACCACTGCCGGCAGCACATTCCACGTGCCCACCACTCTGTGTGTCAAGAACCTACCTCTGGCATCTCCCCTATACCTTCCCCCAATCACCTTAAAATTATGGCCCCTCGTAACAATCATTTCCACCCTGGGAAAAAGTCTCTGGCTGGCCACTCTATCTATGCCTCTCATCATCTTGTACACCTTTATCAAGTCACCTCTCATCCTTCTTCGCTCCAGAGAAAAAAGCCCGAGCTCCCTCAACCTTTCCTCATAAGACCTGTCCTCCAATTCTGTTGTGTAACACTGTTCATACAGGATAATACATATTGTAATTGCACGAGTAACTCTTGAATTTAAAATACAATTGCAAAGAGACAAAAACAAGATTGATAATTTTAATCAGCGCCAAAAACTGGTAATGAGATCAAATATTGTGACATCTTTGATAAAGAAAAAGTCCCAATGCTTTCAAGAATGGGGAATTTCCCAACAGAGCTACTTCATTATCCAAGAAGCCACAAATGGTAGTGATTCAGTGAATCTCTGACCTTATCGAGGGAAGAATCATTGATAAAGAAGTTGAAGATGGATGGACCTAGAACACTACCCAGAGCAGCTCCAAAAGCGAACTCATTGAGACGATTGACACCCACCAACTAAACCCATTTCCATTGTGCGAGACGTGACTCCAACTAGCGGAGAGATTTTCCCTCGATTCCTATTGACTCCAATTTTGCTGGAATGCCTTGATGCCATGCTCAGCCAAACACTTATGTAGTCAAAACAGCCACACTGACCTCACCTCTGGAATTCACCACTATCATGGTCACTAAGGCTATCATAAGGTCAGGAACACAGTGGTCTTGGTGAAATCCAAACAAAGTATCCGTGAACAAATTATTGCTGAGTAATTGGCTCTTATTCGTACTGTTGATGACCTATTCCTTCATTTTCATTTTGATAGGGTACAGATAGATGAGCAGTAATTGGTCAGATTGGAGGTGTCCTGCTTTTTCTAGACAGAACACATTCCAGGACAATTTTCCACAAATCTGGATAGATGCCAGTGTTGAAGCTGTACTGAACAGCTTAGATAGCGGAACAGCAAGCTCTGGAGCACTATTGCTGAACCGTTGTCAGGGTCCATAGCCTACACAGTATCCAGTGTCTCAAACTGTTTCCTGACATCACATGCAGTAAATAAAGATGGCCGTAAAATGTTTCAGCCTCATTGCTTGTACAAACGTGCTGAGACTACTTTTCAGTATTAAGATTGGCAATATTTGTGTTGACTTATACTCCAGCTAGTTATTAATTTTAGTACCATCATTCACATCTTGATGTGTCAGGACTCCAAAAGTTGGACCTTATACGTTGGTAGTGCGATCACTTAGCATCGTCAATCGCATGCCAATTCTCCTGTTTGGCATGGAGGTAGCCCTGTGTTATAGATTCACAAAGTCAACACCTCATTTTTAGTTAAACCTGCTTCTGCTCTTTGGCATCTATGCCTATACTCTTCCTAGAATCTAGGTTAATCCCCTGGCTTGATGACAATGGTAAGGTGGGGCAACTGGTGGGCTGTAAGGTTATAGACTGTGGTTGAATACAATTTTGCCAGAGCTGATGGCACACAGCACCTCTTCGATGCCCAGTTTTGAGATAATTGATTTGTTTGAAATTTCATTCATTTATCACAGAGGTAGTACCACACTGCATGATAGAGGATATACCCTGTAAAGATAGGTCTGCATCTCAATAAGGACTGTGTGGTGATCAAGCCTTCCAATGCTATCAAGGACAGATGCATCTGTGGCAGGTGGACTAATGGGTGTAAAGTCAACTATATTTTTCACTCCTGTACAGACTGTACACATGTAGCAGACATATTCTAACAGCTATGTCCTTTAGCGCTCAACCAGCTTGAACTGTAGTTTTCTATGGAGCTATTCTAGGTGTGTATTTTCTTTTTCCCCATCCAAGGAACACTCTGTGACCTTTCCATCTTCAGTGCTTTTTCCAAGTGAGGTAGCACCTGGCCAAGTATTGATTCATGAGTCAATGAAAGAGGGCAGTGATGTGGGTACTTAGTGGCAATCATCTCAGGAGATGCGATGTCAGGAAATATTATGGCTTCTGCAGTCACTGTTGAGGATTCCCCAAGGAAACCTACTTTCGACTGCATATCAGTGATGATAGTGACTAGATATTGTCTGGTAAGAATGATTGTATCAGTTTGTTGCTTGAATAGACCATGCAACAAGTGTTCCCAGTTTTGGCACAAGATCCAAATTTTTGCAAGGTTCTTCAGAGTGTTGGGTTGGATGCATTGTTGCATTTTCCAGTGCTAATTCCAAATGGATAATCCAGGTTAATTTCTTTTTGGCTTTGTATTGGATTGATACAACTAAAATGGCTGAGCAAGCCACTACATTTAGAGTCAACTGCATTGCTGTGAACTTAGGGGTCTCATGTTAGCCAGGCAAGGATGATAGATTTCCTTCCCTGAAGGATATCAGCGCACTGGATGGGCTTTTAATGACAATCAACAATTGTTTCACAATGAGATTTAACTTTTTATTCCAGATTTAATAACTGAAGTTAAACTTCACTAATTGCCAGTGTATAACCAGGAAGAATTTGAAGTAGAGACAAGGTGCAGAATTGGATGAACACAGCAGGCCAAGCAGCATCATAGGAGCAAGAAGGCTGATGTTTCGGGCCGAGTAGTATCCTCAAAGGAGTGGGTCTCTGGATTACTAGTTCAATGGCACCATCACAACAACACTGCTTCCCTCTTTAATATTATGAGGTCCAACATTTTTACAGCAAGTTTAACAAGTAATTAATTTACAAATTTGACAAGTTTTCAAAGATAACAAAGGGTTAGCAAAGGGTAGACAGTGTTCCGATGAAGCAAATCAATTAGATACTGAAGACTTGAACTTTTTAGCATTATCTCTTCTGCCGAGAATCTGGAACTGGAGGTGATTGTTTCAAAATAGGTTGCCTATTTAAGACTGAGACGAAGAAAAAAATTCTCTCAGAAGGTCGAGTATCTTTGAAATTTCCTTCCTCAGTGGGTGTAGAACCTCTAAATATTTAAGGCAGAGGTAGAAAGACTCTTGATACAAGGGGATAAACGATTATCAGGAGTTTGCAAGAATGTACAGCTGAAGTCAAAATTAAATCAGCCATGAATTTATGGAATGGTGTGGCAAGCTCAAAGAGATGAGTAACCTATTTCTGTTTGAATATTCATAGGTCCCCTTTATTAACCCTGATTATGCCAATGAACTCATCATGATTTTCTTCAGGAAGATCTGGAGTGAAATTTCAGTCTTCCAACAGAAAGGTAGTTTCGCACATAGAACAGGAAGAGGCATTGACCAAAGACTTCTTATTCTTTGTTTTAAGTGACCTCATTCTTCACCAACGCAAATAACCAAACAGAATTTTATGACATTGTGGTACTATGTTTCAAACACCAGTGCGATCCTCATGCATTCCCGAATGATAATTTTTATACAGAAAAGTTAACTTGAAAACTGTGATTTCCAGACATGAATTGTGGCTTTTAATATTGTCTGTCTGAATGTATCAGTTGCTAGTGACTAACTAGGCAACTTAAACAGATGCTCCCTATGGCAGCTTAAAGTCCTTGAGAACAACTTTCAACTCACAAATGTATATGATACAGATCAGGATTTGTGTGTTTGAATGTTTAAAGTTTCGATTGAAGA